GTGGTGGGACGTGGGTGGATGGCACCCCAGTGACCTCCCGTGGTGGGACACGATGGGCTGGGACCCCAATGACCTCCCGTGGTGGGACACAGGGGGCTGAGACCCCAATGACCTCCTGTGGTGGGACGTGGGTGGATGGGACCCCAACGACCTCCCGCGGTGGAACGTGGGTGGATGGGACCCCAGTGACCTCCTGTGGTGGGACACGATGGGCTGGGATCCCAATGACCTCCCGTGGTGGGACGTGGGTGCATGGGACCCCAATGACCTCCCCTTGGGGGGCAGGGGTAGATGGAATCCCAAAATGCCCCTCCAGGGGCACCCAGATGTCCAGGATGCCAAAACCTCCCTCTGATCACCACCCAGGAGAGGACCCAGGTGTCCCGGTGACCTCCCCGCCACCACGGGGGTCCCGGGTGACCGGGGTACCTTGCTGAGCTGGGACATGACCTCCCAGAGGAGGGCGTGCAGGGTGGAGAGCTCGCGGCCCAGGTCAATGTAGCCCTCGAAGCTGGTGCTGTTGGTGAGGGTGTCCAGGTTGGAGATCTCGTAGAGGAACTGCTGCATGCTGGTCCACTCCAGCTCCAGGAACTCGTTCATGAAGGCCATGTACTCCTCCTTGCTGCCAAACCTGCAGGCGGGCGCTCAGCGGGGTGGACCTTCTGTCCCTCAAGCTTCCAGGTGTCCCTTCGTAAAGTCACGTCTGGCCTTCATCCAGCTCTGCCATCCGTTTGTTCTCCATCCATCCATCCATCCATCCATCCATCCATCCATCCTTCTGCCCAACTCATCCATCCACCAACTCATCCGTCCATCTTCTGTCCATCCAACTCGTCCTTCCGCCCATCTAGCCATCTTCTGTTCATCCATCTTCCCTCCACCCACCCATCAACTCATCTTCCACTCATCGTCCATCAACTCAGCCATCTTCTCTTCAGCTGTTCATCTTCTATACTCATCTATCCACCAACTCATCCATCCATTTTCTGTCTTCTGCCCATCCTTCCACTCATCCCTCCATCTTCTGCCCATCCTTCCACTCATCCCTCCATCTTCTGCCCATCTTCCACCTATCTGCCAGCTCATCCATCCATCTTCTGTCCCTCATCCGTCCATCTTCTACCCATCAGCTATGAACTCACCCATCCATCTTATCTCCATCTGTCCATCTTCCTTCCAACTCATCCATGTCCACTCATTCATCCCTCTTCCACCCATCATCCATCAACTCATCCATCCACCTTCTGGCCACCTATCCATCTTCTGCCCATCAACTCATCCAGCCGTCTTCTGTCCGTCCTTCCATCTTCCGTCCATCCATCAGCTCACCCATCCATCCAAGCTCCATCCACCCACAGACCTACAGATCCACCTTCCCTCCACCATCCCTCCATTCTCCTCCCCGCCCGCCTGCGTCCCTCGCCATCCCTCCGTCCAACCGCCATCGCCCACCGCCGCCCCCCTCCCTTCTCCACGCTGGCCGCTCACTTGGTGAAGTTGGCCAGGTTCTGGATGACCTTGGCGATGAGGGTGAGGGTGCGGGCGGTCTGCTCGTCGGGGTACTCCTGCATGAGGCCGAAGAGGCTGGGGGACATCACGGCGGGGCAGAGGAACCGCAGGAAGAGCGAGGCGCTGATCAACCGGTCGGCGATGTCCTCGCGGCCCCGCTCGGCGCATCGCAGCCGCCACGAGGCGAAGACCTCCTTCAGCTCCCGGGGGAACACGCTGAGGTGGAAGGGGGACACGACGACACGGTCAGGGACCCACGGTGGGGACGTGGGGGGATGTCCCCAGCCCTGAGGACTCACCAATGCGAGTTGACCACCTTGCAGAGGGCGAGCTCGCAGCACATGCGGAGGTTGGCCTGGTGGTCAGCCAAGGTGGAGGCCGAGCACTTCATGGGGTCGACCTCACAGTTCTCCTCCGATTCGTACAGCGCCCGGATGAACTCACCTGCGTGGGGACGGGGACGTCAGAGGGGACCACCCCACTGTCCCACGGCCAGGCCACCCCCATGGAGACATGGCCATGAGAAGGGACCACCCAACCATCTCATGACTATGCCAATGAGGGGCTGGGGACTACCTAACTGTCCCATAGCCAGACCACCTCCATGGGGACATGGCCATGAGAAGGGACCACCCAACCATCTCACGACCATGCCAACGGGGACGTGATCATAAGGAGGGACCACCCAACCATCCCATGACCATAACAACGGGGACACAGCCATGAGAGGGGACCACTGAACTGTCCCATGGCCATGAGAAGGGACCACCCAACCATGCCATGGTCATGGCCATTCCCATGAGGACCTGACTATGAGCAGGGATTGGGGATCACCCAAATGTACCCTGATGGGGACATGGCCATGAGAAGGGACCACCCAACCCTCCCACGGCCATACCGACGAGGACACGGCCACGTGTGGGGACCACCCAACCCTCCCATGGCCATGCCAGTGGGGACATGACCATGTGTGGGGACCACCCACTGTCCCACAGCCACGCCAGGGGGGCCCTGGTCATGATGGGGACCCCTTGGCCACAACGGTGCCCCCCCAGCGCTGGTGGAGCTCACCGATGGCATCCTTGAGGTATTTCTGGCCGATGAGTTTCAGGTACTCCTCTATGGCTTTCGTGGCGAGGGTGTTTTCCCGGAAGATCAGGTGCTCCCGGTCCATGAAGCGATCCACCTCCGTCATGGCCATGTCCGACAGGAAGTCCTGCCCACGGCCGTCAGGGCAGCCCAATGCCTGCCTGCGGCCAGGCTGGCCCAGCCCACCCTCCGTGCATTCTTGTGGCCTGCCTCCATCTTCTGTCCGTCCATCCATCCATCCATCCATCCATCCATCTGTCCTCCACCCATCCCTCTTCCATCCTCTATCCATCCATCCTCCATGGCTGTCCTCCAGCCCTCCTCCATCCATCCATCCTCCATCTGTTTGTCCATCCTGCTCCATCCATCCTCCTTCCCTTCATCCATCCATCCTCCATGGCTGTCCTCCATCCATCCAATCCTCTGTCCATCCTCCCTCTGTCTTCTACCTGTCTCCCATCTGTCTGTCCATCCTCCTTCGTTCTTCCTTCCTCCAGCCTTCCATCCATCCATCCTGCATCTGTCCATCATCCATCATCCATCATCCATCTTCTATCCAGCCATTCTCCATCCTCCTTCCATCCATCCATCCATCCATCCATCCATCCACCCTTCTTTCCTCCATCCATCCATCCATCCATCCATCCATCCATCCTTCCTTCCTCCATCCATCCATCCATTCTCCATCCATCCTTCCATCATCCTTCCATCCATCTTCCATTCATCCATCCTCCATCCATCCTGCATCTGTCCATCATCCATCATCCATCCATCATCCATCCATCCATCCATCCATCATCCATCCATCCGTCTTCTATCCGTCCATCCTCCGTCCTCCTTCCATCCTCCATCCATCCATCCATTTTCCATCCATCCATCCATCCATCCATCCATCCATCCCCCATCCATCCCCCATCCATCATCCATCATCCATCCATCATCCATCCATCCATCCATCCATC